CACATATTTTGTAGCTACGCTTGTTTCATAAGTACTATTTGCAGGTAAAAATAGTTAAAAAAAATTTAAGGTATATATAAGAGTACTTAATTAATTATTTTAATAAATGTGGAATAAATTATGTTCATTAAATCAAAAGGAGCATGTATAGCATAAATAAAAAACAAGAAACGGATAAAAAATTTTGCTAATAAGTAATTTATACTTGTATACCATTTACAACTTGTAGGGAAATTTCTTGCGTATATAAATATCATTAAAATACAGTTAGAAAACTGAACAAAATTGTATAGTTTTGGGGAATGATTAAAATATTCAAAATTATAAAATGAGAATTTAAATTTTTTAAATTTGTTTCATGAAAGAAGGGAAGAAATTGTTTTATAAAAAATTACAAAATATTTAAATCATGAGTAGTTTTTAGGCAAATTAATATAAATGTAGAAATTTTATAATACAAAATAATTATATGTTTTATTTGCAGTTCAGTTTGGGAGTGATTTGGTGCTGCACTGCTTCAGTTAATGAAGAATGGTTTGAGGTATGAAAGATTCTAGATTATAGATTTTAAGAAAATTTTTTAATGATTTTGAAATAACATTCCAAATTCCAAATATTGTGAGATACACTGTGTTTTAAAATAATTAATTTTGAAGTAAATGTAATTAACAATTAAGACCAAAACATGTTTATTTATTAATAATTGTAAATTTTTTTATTTTTTTGATTTTTCAAATGGTTGAATTGTTTATGAAAAATTAATTAAACCTACTGTGGTAAATGACCTCTTTATTTTAAATATATCTTGTCACCTCTTCAAAATTTAATGGGGTTCTAAAGATCATTTAACCCTAATTTTAATTTACCGAAGGTTTATTAACGTATTAACATTTAGTGTTATAGCTATCAACAAAATGTACCTTTCTTGTTAGACATTTCTTGTTAGACATTTAAAACTGATTAGTTTGATATTTAATTGATGAAGTATTGAAATTAATCATGAATTTATTAGAGTTGCTTAAAAAATTATTTAGTTTAAAGAAAATTTTTTCAAGAATACTTCAAGTTCTAATAAGCAGGATTTTTTTTCACATTTTATTGAATATTTGTTAGAAAGGACTAAGAGAGAAATGTTATAAGCGACATTACAAAATTAAAAGTTATAAAAAAAATTGCATATCTTGCAGGGTTTTTAATCAGATTAAACTTGAATTAAGAAAAATACTTATTTTATGAAAAATTAATATATTTTTTTCTCTATTGGAAGAGGACATGGATTATAGAAATCAAAAGGGGGTAAAATATTGCAGTTGAATTGGATCAAATATTTTGGTTTAGGAAAAGAGAAATTTCAAAATTATTAAAAACAATTGATAGCTATATTGTATTTGTAGCTGGAATATGTGAAGAAAAAATGTTCTTTTTATATACAAAATAAAAAATAAAAATAAAAATCAAGATGGTGACGTGATTTTTACATTAATCAATACAATGGTGTATTGATTTGAAAATTGTGTTAACTAATGTAAAAATACTCAATTGCTTTAGCTCCAATATGTTTTAAACGAAATATGAACAGTACACCAAAATTTCTTTGTGAAAAGACAAGTTTAATAATTTAGGTAAATAAAATTCTTTATAAAAAAGAAATCAATTCCCAATATGTGTCAAAATTTTGTTGAAATTTAATGTGAACTCTGTTGCGAAAATACCGCGTAATTGCTTTCTGTTTGCAAAATAGTTTTATTTTCATAGACATTTTGTATTACAAATATCCTGTAAGCACAATGGAACTAGGAATTTTACATCGTCCAGTATAAAAAAATCCGTAAATAACAATTAAAATCTTTAATTATAGAAAATTACAAAACTTTATTGAAAACTATAATTTAAAAAGTAAAATATTATTTTCTTGTCCAACAACTCATACTCATTTTATACAATGAAATAATTGAATATAAAAAGCAATACCAAAATTATGAAGAAAAGTTCAATGTTCTGAAAGAAACCAGCATGATATTTTATTTCGTTGATCCATTTAATTGAAAAGGATGTGAACTATCACATCATTTTTAAAAATAAAACTTTTTAATGAAAAGTTTGTAATTTCTTTGTAAATATGGCAACCAAACAAGAGAAATGAAAAAGAAGAAAAGAACAATTTAAAAAGTTTCTTGGTACTTAAAACAAAATGAGAAACTTGTCCCCAACATTATACTAGCAGTTATAGTTTTCCTTTTTCTCTTATCCTTTTTTTTTCTTAAATGGTTATGTTGTAATACGAGACTTTAAAACTTAATTTTTTGATAATTTTTTGTCATTTGTATGATTGTTTTTATTTATTATTTGTTTTTTTTATAAAAAAATATATTCGATAATGTTGTTTAAGGAAAAGTTTAAAAAGAAGACGACGTACTTGTTAAGTTTCGCGTTTAAACTGATATTAAAGCAAAAAAAAAAATGGTTTTTAAATTATTTTAAATGTCTTCATCTTAAACTTTACTGGGAAATGAGAATGTCACACGGTATGAAAGGTAAAACCAGGTGAAATTGTTTTTTTTTTTTTTAATATTTCATAATTTTTTCGTATAAAATATTGTATATTTTTTGTTTTCTTGCATAACCATAGATTTGCATTCTTCTGAATGAAATATGGGGTTAATTTTGGTCGAAGTATGAATTTAAATATTGTTTACAATTTAAATTTTAATATTCATGAAACCCCAGCTATATTGCTAAATTGCATAAATTCGGCGAAAATTCATTTTCAATTTTTAAATCAAAAGCCATTAATTTCGGATTTAATTATTCACAACTTAGTACTTTTATTATTTTCCTAGTCAAATAATTGATTTAGTTTTTTTAATTTATTTAAGCACAAATTTACAACAATTTTGCAGATGTTCAAAAAATATACGAATCAATACTATATTTAAACCAAACTAGAATACTTGAAAGTCTAGAGACTCTGTTTTAATTTATAAAATTAATTTTCAAAGGCATAAGACAATGGAAGAGCTTAAACTACAATATAATCATAATAACTTGTAAATTTTTCAAAGTTGGCAGTCCAAACACATTACAATTTATGTCTTGTTCAGTACACTTTCCTCACATCTTTCAGAATTATTCTGCCATATTGAAAAATTTGTGTTTAATCTCAAAATAGCTCGAGAACTTATTAGTCCTTTGAGGTTCAATTATATCACGATAATCCTATCATCATTATGATAAGATTGTTTTTCATGTAAGTTATCATATTCTTCATATGATAGCTATAATCACATCGAATGCTACTAGTAAAAATTCGAATTAACTTATGAAATTTACTTACATATTTTTCAATTTAAAATTATTTTCAAATGACCAAACATAAAATTTAACAGAGTCAATACCTCTTCCATATACAATTTTCATATACCACACTGCCATACATATGTACGTTCAAGTTTAAAATACACTAAAGATAGCTAATAATATAAAAATTTATTATCTTTCTTTATATATACGATATATGTATAAGAATAACTCACTATCACGGGAAACGGTCACAAAATTTTATTATTTAATAAAGCTTATATTTTAGTTAATCTTATAACTAATACAAACATATTTATGTGAACGGATAAAATATTATCAAAAGAAAAATATTCTACCAAAATAAAAATATACAAAAAGATAATAAATTACAAGGAAAAGCGTATAATAAAGAAAATGAGCAAACTATAGAGCACAGCTTGCCTTAATCCTGTCAAGTTGAGATTTCATTTGTTGTTGCTCTTTTTTATCATGGTTCTTTTATATTTTTATGTTACTGTTGTCGTCGTTGTCGTTGTCGTCGTCATCCTTCCAGTTTTGATCATTTTTTAATAGGTAATAAAGTTTTTTGGTGGATTTAAAACGAAAAATGGAGAATAATATAAAGCGGAAGTTGAAGTGAAAGTTATGAAAACAAAACACAACAAAAACTTTTCATTGTTAATATTATTTTTGTCTCTTCCTTTTTTATAAAATAATAAAGATAAAAAGGGACTTATGGGTGCAGTACGTTATACTTTATAATGAATTGTTATTATGAACTTCCTTTTGCGGAATTTAATCCAGTGTTATTTAAAGATAAAAAAATTACGGAACATTTTATTTTTTAATAAAAGTAAAACTTAGCTTAAGCGTTTTAGTTGCTTATTAAGCGTAAAAGTATTAAAGACAAAAAAAAGAAAATAACCATTGTTCAAATTAGGCATGCCAAATTATTTTGTTAAGACTCACTGCTATTGAACCATTTTATACCTTTCAATATTAAAATATGTGTGACAAATTCTCTTGTGTGCGAAACAAATAGTATCTCTTTAAACAGATACCAAAGTCAAATAATTTCAGTGAAACAGAATTGCGAATATGATAAACGTACTAAATAATTGTACTTATCAATAAGTACTATTTTGGGTTAAATCTAACAAAAATGCGCTAAAACAACTTCACTTTACATCCAGATTTATTATTTCTCCACTAATTCCAGATTTATAACTTCTTCTTTATATTTCCATATCCCTTTTAAGGCCTATAAAATTTCTTAACAATCTTCTACCTTTTAAGACCTCATCCTGTACGCAAAGCATTAAACTCAGTTCTATAAGTAATACTATAAAAAGTATTACGCAGTTCTATAAGTCCTGAAAATCCTTATTTTAATTATTTAACTTTCTATTAGTTCTAACTTCTAAGCAACGAATGTGATTTCTGGTATCCTGCGTACTAATCAAAAACAAATTTCACATAAACAAGATTTGTTATTATGCTATTTTTATAAATAATTACTATTGATTCATATCTAAGATTCGTACTTTCTATACTCGATATAAGTATATTTTTCATACATAAAAGATCTTTATGTCACAAAGGAATGGCGCCAAAAAATATGTCTATGGCCCGTATAATAATAAAAAGAATTTATTTCTTTTAGATTAAAAATAAATCAATTCTATATACAATAAACTTACTTCATGTGAAGATTTTCCTATACATGATGTTGAACTATTACGACTACCACCATTACTATTACCACTATTTTCATTACAATTTCTACCATTTCTACGATTTCTTGCACAGCAAAATTTTGTATATGTATATTGGAGTGCTTCAGCTAAAAGTCCACCTAAACTTGATAAACACATTAGCATTAAAGGAACTCCAATTAAGGCATAGAAAATTGTAACAATTTTCCCTCCAGATGTTTTCGGTGTCAGACTACCATGACCTAAAATTGAAAAACAAAAAAAAAACATAAAAATTATTTTTATTTTTTTCTTATAATAATTTATTTTATAATAAAAAACTTTTTTTTTTATTATTTATTAATTATAGTAAATTGGCATATAATGGCATACCAATTGTTGTTATGACAGTCACCGAATATAAAAGTGCTTCACTAAATGACCATTTTGTTGTTTTATTGTATTCAATTCCATTTGTGGCACCGTTACGTGTTGCTGCAACAATTGTTCCTTCAAATCGACGCAATTGTTCATCAATAAGCTCTTTCCAATGTTTTTCATAGAGAACGTTTAATTTTTCTGGAATTTAAAAGAACAAATTTAAATGTTAATTTAATAATAAGATTTGGCATTAATTGGTCTAATAATTAATTTTTAATTAATTTTTTTATTTATTTAGAATACGCATTTATTAAATTAAAAACTTAAAAAATCAGGGTGTTTGTTGATAACTTCACTCTTTCGACTCAGTTTTCGAATAGTGTAACTATTCTAGTGGGATGTATTAATTGAAAAAAAATCGCGTTAATGTGCCAATTCATGTGATAGCGAAATGATACAACAGAGAACCAAATACAATGCTTTTAACTTTTAAGGGATGTTTGGACTTTACTGGTGCCAGCTGGATCAAAAGGGTTAAATAATAATTTCAGTTTTCGTCCTAAATTAAATGAGCTTTCAAGTTTCTTTGATTTAAAAAATTCTCACCTCATTTAGAGTTCACTTTCCTCATTAAATTTTATTCTTACGCAAATAAATTCATCAAGTAAAAGTTAAATAATATTGTATCTCCTCTTTAAAATTAGCATTAGTAACAACATAATTAAGTAAAAGCTTTCTCAAATTTAATATTATTTAAGTTCAAGGACTCAAGAAGATTTACGCAACCAACGAATTAAAAGAAATACATGAAAGGATTTTCATTTTTTCTATCAGAAAAGAAAATTTAATTTCATAATTGCAATAGGTTAATTTTCAAATTGTTTTTTAATTTATAAACTATTAAAAAGTATCCGGACGGAATTAATTTTTAATTTCTATTCCGTTTCCGTACACTCTTTATCATAATCAAAATTAAAAAAGTTAAACATCCTTTATGTACCGTACTTATATATTATTCTTTATATAATTCCCAAAGAATAAGTGGAAAAATGAAAATGCTTTATTTTTTTTTCTTTTTTACTTTTTTAATTTCACAAGGGATTAATTCTTATTGTTCGAGATAAAACCTTTTACAGGAAAAACGAAAATATCCTTCTGTCCTTGTCACTGTACTTTTATTTTTATTTTTTTTTTTTTAATGTTTTTGTCTTGCATTTTCATTTCTTATTAATAATAAATGAAAAAAAAAATTTTATGAAATGAGTAAAAAATTATACGTTTTTCTTTTATGGTTCGTCCTTTGCTTAAAAAATGTCCATCACATACTGCTCTTAATACCATTTAGTAAAGAAATAAAAACAATTCAAGACTCATAGGACAAACTTTTTTAAAAATTTTTAAAACAAAACTGAAAAAAAAAACAATTAATGAAAATCATCCTTAAATGACAATGCTAAGAATGAATGAAAATTGAATAAAAGGAAAACTCGGAAGAAAAAAAAAAGGATCCTATAAATTTTACTTAATAAATAAACTTTGATGCTATATTTAAAATGATTATTTTGTTCGTTTTTAGAGGCCTCCGCATATTTTTTGTGTAAAAGTCCCATTCTACATAATTTTGATAGCTTTATTTATTTAATCATTCATTTCGCGCCATTGTCAAAATGTTTATGTGTCTAGGCGCAAAGTGTTTCACTTTGTTTTGGTTTTTTTTTTGTTCTTGTGTTAAACAATGATGAAAAATGGTAACTGGGGCAATAAAAATTTTTAGAAGATGTTTTCGTATGGTTTTTGTGGTTTTCATAAAAATAAGGATAATTGATAATTAAAATTTATATTCATGTGACCCAAATGTATCATAATATGGGTTTGTAAATTTCCTTACTCTTATGCTGTTGTGCTGTTGTTCTTATTGCTTTGAATGAATGTTAATGGTTTTCATTTAGTTTTAGCCCTATTTAATGTTATCTTTCAATGGTAAAGTTAATGATTTGATAAATAAATAAATTAAGACGTCTGGTATTAATTACATGAAAATTGTCTAAAATACGGAACAGGATTATAGTATGTAGGTAATTTTATGGTAGTGAAATAAAATTTATGGGTATATAGTTGTGATAATTGATTTTTGTAATATTTTCGAATTTAAAGCTAGGACGGGTATGCTCTTTTTTATTCTGCTTTTGTGTTTTTCATATATAAGTAATTTTCTAAGGGTTATCTTATTCCTGAATTTAACGTTTCTATTTCAAAATAACAACGATAAATATCATCTATTGATGTGCGAATACCAACTACTCTTTATTTCAATACACGCTATTTCGAGAAATCGAGGTTACTGGTTCCTTGTAGATCAAGAATATTTGTAACTCAATATTCGCACATAATCTTTCATATTGTCACACCATATATCCAATACTAGTATTATTTTTATTTTATAATTAATGGGATAATCTGAATGTGACAAATTCGGATTAGAATTGATTCATGTGACGTTGTTGTATACATAGCTGCGGTTGTAACATTGTGATTTTGATTATATGATGAAAATATTGTAAGTAAGATTTTTTTTTACATTTGAGCACTCTCAATTATAAATGTATGTAAATGTAAGTTTAAAATTAAAATTTTGTTGTAAAAGCGTTAACGTTACATGATTCAAAAAATGCATTAATAGATTTTGATAAAAAACTTTAATATTATCTTCTGTAATAGAAGTTAAAAAGTAAAAATTAAAATAGCCCGAAAAAGTAGAACGATTTTTAGATTCTATTTTTCGGGCAAAGTTAAGAAGCTTTATTTTTCAATTTTTTTTGGCGAATTGATGTTCTTTATTAAAATCCAAGAGTACGTTTTTTAAATCATGTCTGCCCGATTTCTGGTTCCCAAGATACAAAGCTTTATTACAGAGCCTTAAAAAAAATTTTAGGTTTCCAGTTAACTAGATTGCACATCGCTAACATTATTGTTGAAATGCTTGATACGAATTGTAATTTTGTAACCAATAAGAAGGTATATAAAGAACTGTAATTTTCACTGGAGGAAAAATAATAAGTCTAAACTTGGAAACATTCATAAGATAGTAAAAGAAGAAATTACAATCCATACAGAAGTATACTTGAGTGTTCCAGAATAAAACTAATGAAAATCCTACGTATTAACGCTTAATTTAAAAAAAATTATATGAACAAGGTGAATAATGCCCTAAACATTATTTTAGAATATTGATTACACATAACTGACTGCCACAATTAAACTTATTTTAATCTATGCATATACAAGTATAGTATTGTCATGAATCAATTTTAAATATCAGCTTGCCATTCGTGAAACAGTTACTGCTGTCTGGTATAACATATTTTTTTCCATATTAGATAAACTCAAAATATAAGTAAAAGGATCTCAACCTGCTCTTAATATATTCGTTAACGAATTTGGTATTTTTCTCTAAATCCCTAAAATTTTTTCAAATTTTCGTTCTAGCTTAAAAAATGAAAACGAAAGCAATACTGTGTACCAAGTAACTTCGAAAAAACTTCGCAAAAATTAAATAATGTTTTAAATGGTTTTTAAATAATTTTTAACACCTCTAGCATGGAAAGTTTTTTAATTAAATTTAAAGAAATTTGTAATAGGACACTATACGAATTCAATAATAATTTTTTAAAGAGTAAAGAAATTAGTAAGATTCCATAATGAAATTTAAAACAAAAAATTGATTTTTCTTGAAAATTGAAAGAAAACTTTTAATCTTAGACTTTTTTTCTGAATTCCATTTAATTTTTATTATTTCTTATTTTGTTTTTTTTTTTTTTCATAAACAATAATATTAAAGAATATATTTCTGGAACTAAAAATTGTGGAAGGAAAATATGGCATTTTCCTTCCGGAATAAATTTTAAAAATCTTTTAAAATTTTACAAGAGTATCGTGTGTCCTTGTAATTTTATTTCTTTAAATTTCTTTATTTTATATTTTAATCTAGCTAGACATTTTATTTTCTTTTCATATTTATATAACATTAAAAATTTCTATATAGGTATATTTTACAATATTTATATTCTATTATAAACAAGAGTGTTTGTGGGTGTTTATTCTCAACAAAATATTTTCCTTAATTCTCGTATATTGCTTAGCCAGGAATCATACATATAGTGCACAAACTCATTTAATATAAAACAATATTCATTTAATTCTTATTGTAATATAATATTATGGTTGTATATTAAAAACACAAGGATAAAATATAAATGTATGTATATAGAAGATGAAGATATTTTAAAGAAATTTTTGGGAGATTTAATAGATTAGTAGATATTTTAGACAATAGAGTTGTTGAAAAATTATTTCCTTCCTTTATAATACAAGAAATGAATTGAGTTATTTGGAAATTGTTTAAGGTTATTAAGAGCTTCCTCTTCTGATTTTTTATTTTTTTATTTGTTTATTTTTTTTATATTAATATTTTACTTATTTTTTTGTTTTCTTTTCGCTTAAACTCAATTTAAATTTGATATTTTTAGAATGAACGTTTCATTTATTTTAGTTTCTAAACATTGTAATGTTCATAGCTGTATAGATTACCTTTTTATTGCTCGTAAATATATTTTTAAGGAACCGAATATACTTCGTTAATACAAGCAGGTGAGTATACAATGAAAAATTCTAAGCCAAAAAATTGTTTTGCTGCAACGGTTATATTATTTGGTTTTATAATATTATGAAAGAAATCACATTAGTAAATAAAGTTGGGTCAAACGAATGGTTTGTAAAGTAACACTTCCGTTTCAAAAAACAAACTATGAAGTACGTACATTATTAAAATTACTTTCATTTACTGATGAATATATTTTAAAAATTGCATAAATTTAGGATGAAAAAAAAAATTTAAAGTTGCGTTAATATAATGGTTGTCGTGTTTAAGAATTAATTACTTGAGTTATGAAAAATAATAATATTCCTTAATAACACGGCATTTACTGTTAGTTTTTTGCATTTCAAAAATTTGGAAAAGCATGCAACTTCAGATATATATGATGCCGAAAATTCGAATATTATAAATTTCGAAAGGTTATAATTTGAGATGAAGTGCAGATAAAGAGAAAAAAACTTTAATTTAGTACTGAAAATTGGTTTAAATTTCAAGCTTCTACATATTGCCGTCTAGAAGAAAAACGATATTAAAAATTTCTACC